GCTGGACTGGGCATGGAGCTCTGTGGAAAGTGCTGGAGCCCTGTACTGAGAGGAAAGAGCCTGCAGAAGCGTGGCCCTCGTGGCTCATCCTACCTCCCTCCTTTCCACAGTTCATCTGCTGATCAAGAGAGACATGGGAGATGTAGGGGAGTAGGGGCATGGGACACCTTCACCAGCACCTTATCCATTCATTCCTTCATTCAACAAGCATTCATTGAGGGCTATAGAATGACATACAGAATGCTCTGCAATGGAGTTGACTGCAATTACATCAGATGAGGCCCCTGCAGTCCAGAGCCCTGAAAGAGTCCTGATAAGACATTTTTAGACCTCAAGGTCTCAACAATCACATACCTTCTCCCAAGCAGCTAGGGGATGTTATAATCTACCAAAACAAGAGTGGAAACCAAGGACGAGCAGGACCTGAGGAGAGAGGAAGGGTCTCTGCCTCCAGGCAGGGGCAAGGGTTTTGGCTACTCTTCAGTTCACTCTGGGCTATGTAGAGCTGAGCCTTCCCTGTACTCCAGAAGTTTTCCCAGAAAAGGAACACAGCACAGGTCTCTACACTGTGGGGTGGAGTGGTTACTCCACCCCATCCACTGGGTGGGGTGTCTCTGACACTCTAGTGCTGACATTAATCCATGATAAGGGGGGAGGGGTGCCAATTGAGGGAGCCCAGGGATCTCACTGCCTCTGGGACAGACAGGCCCAGCTTGGGGATGAGGCAAGGGTCTGTACTTCACTCTATCCAAACCATAATCCTAACTTGCACTAACCCTGAAGAATGGGAACCCAATCTTTGGAAGGTCCTGTGGTTTGAGAAGGAAGGAACTCAGGGCCAAAGCGGGGACAGTGGGGGTTGAGTGTGCATGTTCTCGTGCACTGCAATGTGTGAACTAGTTCTGAAGGCTTTTCCACACTTAAAGGGGCTTCTTTGCAGTGTGGGTTCTCCACTTGCCTCCTGAGGGGTGAAGGAGGCCCAACAACTTTCTCACATTCCTTATAATCCAAGTGGCCTCTCTCTAGCCAGTTTTCTCACTCAGATCCAGGTTACAGCTCCTCCAGAAAACTTTCCTGCCCCAATTAAATTCTTCCGGTGGCTTCTCTCCAGGTGGAGTTAGCTCCTGACAAGAGGTGACTGATGATGGAAAGCTCATCAACATCCCTGTCAGCGCCCAGGGATACTCCTCTCTGGGAGCATGTTCTCAGCATTTTCAAGATGGGCCTTGTTTAGACAGCTCGAGTTCTTTAAACTGAGTACGTTGCCAGCTGTACAGGGCTTTCTCTTATTGATAATTATCATGGGGCTTGTCTACCAGCAGGCATTTTTCTGATAATTGTTGAGTATGTTGTATTTCACACACTCAATGTCTGGTTCACATTTACGGAAATGTTTACTTGGGAGAACCTTCTACCAAGAATCTTGAGTGACAGTCAGGGTTTGCCCAAATTCATGAGTTATAGATGCTCCCCTTTTAGACACTGCTTTCCTTTGAAGAGATGTCCCTGCCTCAAACATCTCCCTGGTTCCAGAGTTGTATTTCTGATGGAGTTTGGATGTGTTGTCCCCTCCAAAACTCATGTGGAAATTTGATCTCCAATGTGGCAGTGTTGGAAACTGATTGAGTCACGGGGGCGGACCCCTCATAAATGGATTAATGCTCTCCCGGGGGGAGGAGGGGTAGTGAATGAGTTCTCACTCTATTAGTTCCTGCGAGAGCTGATTTTTTAAAGGACCCTAGCACCTCCTCTCTCTCTTGCTTCCTCTCGCCATGTGAGCTGCTTGTACCCGCCAGCTGCTACCACTTTCCACCATGAGTAGAAGCAGCCTGAGGCCCATGCCAGATGCAGCTGTCCCAGAATCATGAGCCAAATAAACCTCTTTCCTTTATAAATTACCCAGTCTCAGGTATTTCTGTTATAGCAACACAAACGGACTAAAACAATTTCCAACTCACATACTGATAGGGAACCCAAGATAATCCCACAAATCTTACCATTTGCATGTCTCTGGATGATGTTTCTTCCAAAATATCTTGCATAGGAGTCAATTCTTTGGGTTTAAGTTGAGATTCCCAGTCTAAAATGAATTGGGAAAAAAATGAACTCCTTTCAGAAATAGTGGTATGAAATTGAAATTATATATATACATATATTTATATATGGGCTTTTCCCTTTAATATTGACTCTAAACTTGGGAAGATACTAAAGGGATGGAAGTATCCGTGAGCAGGGCTGTGTGTAGAACTTAACAGTCATAGGAACAAGGGGGAAATGAGAAGAGATTTCCTAACTAAAGATTCTATGAGGACTGAGATGGATATTTCCAGAAAGAGAGTGTTAGAAAAACTAGTAAAAAGCAACTAGTCAAAGAACACATACAGGAATGTTAAATTTAAAGAGAAATTGGACAACAAGGGTGGGCGGGGATACAGAGAAACTGAAACCCTCATTCACCACTGGTGGGAATGTAAAATGGTTATAGTGGATTGAATTATGTCCCCCCAAAACTCATTGAAGTTTGAATTGTGTCCCCCAAGTTTTACGTATTAGAAACTTAGCCCCCACTATAACTGTTAAGAGGGTGAGAAATCCTATTACGGTAATTGAAAGGTGAAGCCTTGAAG